CTCCCCCACTGGTCCCAGTAGGCTCCCCCGCTCCCCGAGACCCACCCAGGGACAGAGGCCCAAGACCTCCTCTTCCGGATGTCACCAGGACAATGTGAAGGCCTCAGCTTCAAGGCTATTTCAGAAACCTCAGATAAGGACACAGGTTCAAAATGATCTAAAATAGCTGAGGAAACAGGAGGCAAAGCAGGATCAGGAGTGCAATGAGTYGGTAAAAACCTGACAGCACGGACTTTTTCATTAAAATATGTTAAAAACCCTTCACAAAGTAAAACACAGGGAGTCAAACCAGAACAATCAGGATTCTTTTGATACTTAAGTACAAAAAACATCAGATACTTTAAAACTTTTACTTTTACCAAAGTATTTTTATGGTAAGACACATGTACTTTTACTCAGGTATCAGTGTGAGGTACTTTATACAACACTGTTTGTTTGTAATGTTATTAATAAGCCAGTGTTTAACAGATTTATCAGCACAGTTTGCAGATGTAAAGCAGTAATATGTTATTTTATGGGCCAGAAGCTAAAAGGTTTAAAAACCACTGCTATAAAACATCTAACAAGTGAATATTTTCATGTTAAAATGAGAAACTCAAGTGTGTTTGAGAGAAAACTGTCYTCCACTTGGACCTGCAGGTTCTGGTCCGACCTGTTTTTCTCTGTAGAACCAGTCTGACCAGTCAGCCAGAGCCAGGCAGGGAAACATAAAGTTCATGTTCATTAATTTATTTTAATCATCTTGCTTTATTTTTGTGTATTTTTACATGTAAATCTCTGAAAATGAAGTCAGTTTTAAAGCCGACTTGTGACAGAGTCAGATCGATCCTGTTTGTCCTGCAGATCGATACCTGCCACCTGTCCTGAACCGGACCTCACCGGGTCTTACCTCCTGAACGGCTTCATGTTCCGCTCCTCTGCCGGCCCAGACGCTCCTCTGCCGGGGTGCTGCTTCAGCTGCAGGTCGCTGTCCTTCTCCGCGGTCAGGGAGGTCCGCCTTCGCATCACTGGACACCGGAAGAAACGGCGACTTAATCGGAGGAAAAGCACCGAGGTAAGGAGCCTGAAGCACCGGCCTGACAGCGGCGGGAAGGCCGTGAGCCTGACGGATGACAGCTGACCGAGGGCCGGGGACGACAGGAGCCCAGTCCCCGCTGAACTTACGCAGATATCCGCAGAGAGCAGCTGATCAGACGTCCAGGCTGCGGCAGCCAATGAAAGCGCTGTATTCACACCACGTGACTCCTCCGTGCTGCGTCCACGGTCCCCAGGGAAGCGTCGGAGCAACGAGTTCCAAAACAAAACCGGTTCATGAAAACACGCGGTGCCTTCAGGTACAGCTCGGAAACTTTGACCAGTCCCAAATAACATTGTCTTTATATCGTTATATATAAATATCACAGTACACACACACACACACACACACACACACACACACACACA